ATGATGACTCAGCATACCCTTCATTTTAATTTAAGAACTGCAACAGGGTGTTCTACAGCTGGAGGACTGTATCAAATACTACTGTGGCACCATACAATAACTACAGTGTTGTGAAACACTTGCTATAAAAAGTTTAAGTCAAATTTTAAAGTCTCTTCTCAAAGAAGCTTGTATAGGACTTTCAGGTGTTTGAAAGTAAGGTGTTCTCTTGCCCTCATAATCATCCTTCATTCTAGAAAAACTAATCAGAGACTAACATTTATCTGATAGTAATCAAAAAGTCTTTCTGTGCTTTCCTGCTCTTTAGCTGACAGTAAGTGCTTGCTCTTAAAGGGCAGCTGATCCTCTGCACGTAGTATACTGAAGTCTGACACAAAGAATGTTGGCAGACTAGTAAAAGCAAGGAGAGAGGAAAAGTTGAGTATCAGCAAAAGGAATCAATCTAGCAAATCTTAATAAATAAGGCAGCATTTCCTTCAGCCTTATTTTCCACCTAAGTTAGTAGAAGAGTTTTGCTTAGAACAGTGATAGGACTTCACACAAAGGGCTTCCTTGAAAAATTATTGACTGTAGAAAACACTAAGGTTATGGCTTTCCAAGTAAATTAAACCAAACAAGGACTATGTATCATCTGTGTTATCCCTTGGATCTTCCCCACTGCTATACTCCAACAGTAGCAATTCTTCTAACAGTTTTGCCCTGGACCAACTACTAACCTGCATAATCTGGGAGTCAGCCTGTCCCAGGTCTACTGGCAAAAGGCAGTTTTTCATACAGCCGCCCTCCTCTGAGGCCTGAGAGTTTCATCGGGTGGATGAGGCCAGGCCATGCCAGTTCATTCCCATGTCAGAGAATGGCTAAGTCTGCATCCGTACCAATAAAGAGAACAGTGCACAACTCCAAACAGGACTTCTCTGCATGAAGGCACAAGCTACAACATGAGACATGAGCAAATGTGTGGTGTCTACAAAACCATTTTTCAAACCGGCAAATTATTCTTTGTTATGTATGGCATCTGACAGGTGGATGTTGGTCGTTCAGCAGCATCTTTCAGGCAATTATCTGTCGTGTTCTGAATATCCTAACGAAATGTACTTTAATTAATATAAGTTTATGTTCCTCCGCTGATTAGGGAATGAGCTAACAGATAAGCTCCAGGCAGATTTGTAATAACTTTGTTGATTTAAGATGGGAATGAATTGCTGAATCCAGCGCAACCGATGTTTTGGTTCATTTTTCTTTCAAGCCAGTGATGTCTTCTGTTGCATAACATTTCTGCAAGGTACAGTTAATACCTCCTGCTGCTGCAATCATTTAAATTAGCTAGTTCCTTATAGATAAAAATCTTACCTACGTCAGTAACCACTTTTAAAAGGTAGAGCCAATTAGTTTTTGGACTAACAATGTTTAGAAGAGACTTACAAGCTGTAATCCATTTTCAAATTAGGTTTGGATTGCAGGGAGGGGCAGTGGGAATCCAAGGGCATAACAACCAGAAAATAAAATTAACCCAGTCCAGTTTTACAAAAATGTATTTTCTAATGATACTTTAGTGCTGACAGAAATTATATTAACCATGTGTTTTTACATATCAAATTTAAGTCTACGTACTACCAAACTAAAACTCAATTTAATCCTTGCCTATATTAACTACTCTTTAAAAAATAAGCAAGCGCCCCAATTCGGCAACAGTTTGCAAACTTGGGTAAACCAAATGCAGCAGGACATAATGAATCTAGTAACCATAGTAGGCAGTTCTAGCGTTATGTAAAAAGCTACTTGTAGTTAGTTTTCAGCCTGAACATTTCTCCAGCCTGGCTCACATGCCTGCATCAGTACTAGTGCAGCACTGGGGGCAGAAGGAAAGCATGGCTGGGGCACCCATATGCTTCTGCTGCTAAGTCTGAACTTCTACCAGCTTCAGGAAAAAAAAAAAAAAAGAAGAGCTGAAGGAAGCTGTTGTTTCTTTCCCAGAGCTTCTCTCCCTGGTTTCAGTAAACCCCACTCGCAAGAAACGATTTCCAGCAAAAGGGACCAGACAGGCCAAAAGCCTCAGGATAGAAACGCGGGCCTCCCACGCATCTCCTGTAACCACTCCGCCGGGGCTCTTTTAAACGGCAGCCCCGAGGCCAAGCCTGGCACACGAAGCACAACCCGCAGCTCGGCAAGGGCTGCCGGGGCGGCGGGCACCTCACACCCAGCCTCGCACATGCTGCGGGGAACCCTCCTGCTCCCGGCCCTCCTCCTCCCGGGGTTCCCCCCCTCCCCGTCCCCACCAAGCCTGCGGCCGAGAGCTGGCGGAGCCCTCTGCGAGGCCCTCCACGGGGGAAGCCGGCCGGGGGGCAAGCGTCGCCTTCCTCAAGGGTTTGAGCCCACCTGGCTGGCCCGAGGGCTCCGGCCTCGGGACGGCCGGGGCTCTGGCGCGGTTGCGCACGCTCCGACGGAGCCCCCGGCTCCGGTAGTGTTTTCGGGGACGCCTGCGGCGCGCGCAGGGTGGGTGCCGAGGAGCACGGGGGGTGCCCGCCTGCACCGGCGACCGGGGCCTCACGGCCTCGGGCGAAGCGCCCGAAGCGCCGCGCCACTTCCCGGCGCTCCCAGAGCGGAAACCGGCGACGGGA